AGACTGTACATGTCGATTACATAAATAAAAGCACAAACCAGCTGGGAAAAATAAAAAACGAAAAAAATTAAGAACTGATTGTGACAGTACCAAGTAAAAAAAAAAAAAAAAAAAAAAATTATAAGCAAAAAAGAAAATACACCAGCCCTTTTATAATTTTATCTATCCATATACTCTCTATAATCAAATCTTTAAAGTCTTCTGCAGACACGAGAAATGTACACTCAATATTTACAGACAAAGCTAAACAGCTATTTTTAACCACCTAATGTCTACTTGATGTGTTCCATCAAACCTCACTCGACACATCTGACCACTGGCTAAAAACGTTTCTCCTCTCTTTCTCTCCATTTTTTTTATTATTCAAACAACCAGTACAAATAGGAAGAAATTTCTTTGGAAAGTAAAATCAGTATTTGTGGTTTTGCATTGCATTACATGTTGTTCTCAACTACATTCAGTCTTAGAAAAATAATGAATTCTCAAAACCCTGACAATTCTTTTAGAAATGCTAGCGGCCAAAATTTGGTCACATTATATAATCCGTATAAATAAACTAAACAAAGTTGTGGGTGAGTCATCTGCTTATTTAGACATGTCAAAGTGGGATTTAATCAATTTTTGTTTCAAATATATAATCCAATCAGAAATCGGTCACAGTTCAGCTCCTCTATTAGTTTACTTATTTCACACTAATTAAAGAGCGCGGAACCCCAAAATATAGCCCTTAACTCTACACAAGTAGGATATATATATATATATATATATATATATATATATATATATATATATATATATATATATATATATATATATATATATATATATATATATATATATATATAAAGAATATGATTACAGTCAACAAATTAAAGCTCCATTTATAAATATTTGCTGGGGGGGGGGGGGGGGGGGGGGGGGGAGTAAAATCCAGGAGCAGCCCACAGATGAGATGCACATTTCTTAACCTTTAATAGTTTTAACTGTAATCAGTCTTCCACAGGAAGAAATTTGGCCCAAAAAGCCTAACATTTGATTTCAGGAAAGTGTCTGAAGGTGCAGGGAGCCTCCAGCCTCATGCACATGGTTATCAGTTTACAGTAACCAACCAGACACATGCTGCTTCTGGAACGGTTCGATCAACCATTTCTCCAATATATAATGTAAAAATGCTGAAAGTTTCCTATTTCCTACAGTAATGCCACATGCTTGAAGTTAAATGTTTAACCCTCAGGTGAGCTTTTGATATACTAGCGGAGATTTTCCTGATGGAGCGTTGAACCAACCATGCTTCCATTGGGTTTAGTTTTATGATCAGACCTTTTTATAGCATTAAATCTGTTAGAAGGGACATACAGGTTAATGCCAGCTCTTTTATAATTAGTAAACATTCAGCAAAAACCAAAAGCAAAATGCTGGCTATAAGCTATAAGGAAACTACAAGTTGCCATTTAAAGTTTTTTCCCCTGTTGCAAAACAACAAAGACATAGGGTCAGAGATTAGGTGAATAATCATCTTTTTTTGTTTCGAGGTTTTAATTACTCAAAGAAAAAAAAAAAAAGAAAAAAACTTCGATAAAACATTGCCAGAGTGAATATCATGCAACAAGACTGAGCCGGAATCAAACTGTGCCATACAGTACTGTTGTAGAGGAATAGAAGTAAAATGCCACAGAGTCAGTCCTCTTCCACTTCTGTAACTGTTAAAAGTTGCTTAGATTAGAGAGAAATCCCCATTGCTTAAACCAATTTAAAAAATCTATTCCATGCTCTTCTGGGGGTTAAAATGACATTTTGCTGCAAACACACAAGGCGGATGAAAACAAGTATAGAGTCTATAAATTAGCTTCATTGGCTAAAATGCTTCCCACAAAGAGTCATGCAGTTTTAAAACCCTTTACCTTTTCAAATCTATACACTGTGCCTTTATAAAGAGAGAAATATCTAGTTTTGAATTTATCCCCACATGTGGATCTGAGCTGAGCAGATTCAAGAACATAAAACACCAAACATTGGTCTACAGCAGCCTCTTAATATCCAGTATCTAATGCGTTAATTAGCATGTAATTATGAATATATTAATCCCAGATGTTGGCAGGTGACCATAACTAACCAATTTAAAGAACAGTTTCACTGGTCGTCTGGTCTAAACCTCGTTAACAGGATCTTTTGAAAGCACCACACTTTAAAGCCAACATGGGGCAATCTAACAACAACACCCTCTGTAGTGGAAGTTGTAGCCGTGAAAAAAAGCTGGTAAAAAGTTGATGTCTGTTGCAACACAACTTCCCAACAACACATCCTCTGCAGTGGAAAAGTCTCATTTGCCCGTAAGTAGCGCCACATTTATAGGAAAACACATTTTAAGGCTTTATCAACAGAGTAATGCTGTGTTCACATCGAAGGTGTGGGCGTCAAAAACAGAAGCAGAAATCTGGACACTGGAACAGATGCTAGATGAAACTGTGGAAAAGTTGCTTCGACGCTCTGGTTGTTCATCTGTTCTGTTCTGTAGTTTCAAGTTAGAGAGCAGCTTGGCTTTATTTACTTTATAAGTTGGAAAAATTGTTTTAACATGTTTTTAAAATGAGAAAGTCCACTTTCAAACATCATCTGTGCAGTCAGTTCATCAGGATTATGATCCCACTAAAATATGCAGTTCATATTCCGAGTGCCAGACCTCCAGCATACCACCAGGGGGCAGCCCTGGGTTTTCATAGCTGCTGCAAGTGAATATAAATAGTTTATGGTAAAAACTGCCAAGTACCAAAATATACAATCGAATATTTTTTGTAAGCAGGTTTTAAATTTCTAGTTAATTTCAGTATTTATACACTTTTTCACCATAGTTCATGAAAAATGTTTTAGTGCAGCAATAATGATCAGAGTTCCATCTGTTTCTTCAACATAATAATCCAACACCTTTGCAGATTAAAGGTACACTATGCAACCGGTGTTGATTTTCCAGCGAGGCTCCCCCCAGAGGGCGAAAGTAAAAGTGCACTGTCGTAAATATGCACAGCTGTTCTCCTGGTTTCTCCGTCAAGCCAGGCGCGGTTGTTTTGAGCTTAGCAGACAGGCGAACGCAACGAATGACTAATGCTGCGTTCACACCGCAGCTGGCGCGACAGAAGCAGCGAGTTTACATGCAAAGTCAATGGTTGACGCGCGTCAAGGCGCAGCAAAAGGTCCCACGGCGCGTTTTGAGGCAGCAGGCGCAGCACGTCTGAGCAGCTGAAGCAGGGAGAGAGACACAGCGCTGATGATCACTCCTCTTAAACAGTTTATTGACGCCTAAATTAACTTAAAATGCAGAAATCTGCCGGCAGAATATGCAGTTTGGATTATTTAGATGAAAAACACCTACCAGCTGCCGTGGTGAACCGCGAGGAGGCAACCAGGCCAGAGGCTGCTGATGAAGGGATCCCTACTGTCGGTGCACCGCTGGTATGTGGGGGTCTGAGCGGCTCCGGCAGAAAAAATATTGAAGGCAGGATAATAATCTGAATGAACTGACGGCACTAATTACATTTTCAGGTGTATTTTCTCACTTAAACACATATTAAAACTACTTTATTCCCACTGATCACAGCAAATATAGCTGCAAGGCAGAGAAAGGATAGTGAAGCTCCGCCCAAAGCGCGTCAGATACACTTTTGCACCGCGCAGCCAGAGCAGCAAAGCTGCTTCAGCCGCGCGTCAGAACTAACTGGTACAAGCAGCAAAAATGAAGCAGCAGACGCGATTTTGCTGCGTCCGATGTGAACGTAGCATAACTGCACAAAGATCGCCACTGTGCTAGCAACGAGAATGCTTTTAACTGGGGGCGTGTAGCAGTTCTCGCCGTAAAGCAAGACCGACTCTCACGAGACTTCTGAGCCTGTGGGTGCGGGTCGGTGCTCCTGCAATTGCAAGTGCATATTTCCCCCACAGACCACCAGGGCGGCCGAGAATACCTTTGTTCAACCTGAAATGAATCATTTAATCATCCATAACGTTATGGAACACATTAATTAACTGAAAAATGTTGCATAGTGTGCCTTTAAGACCCTCGCTATTTATTTATTTTTCATATACAGAATGTCTGAATAAGCAATAACAGCTTGCTGGTAATGTCTGTCTCCCCTAAAAAACTCCTGGACTGGCTTTTCTGATTGGGTGACGCTTCGACTCTGGAGTTCAGTAAATAGAACTGTTGCCCCTGAACGAACGCTCAGACGGCAGAACGGTCGAAATTTGCTCAAATGCGCCGCTGGACCTCCTCGACGCTGTCCCCATAGACTTTGCATGTAAACCAGACGCTCCGACGCTCAGAAGACCTTTGGTGTGAACGCAGCATGAGTTGCTTGAGCCCATAAATAACTTCCAAAAATCCTTTCCTCCAATACCAAACTTCTCATTTGGTGGCATCGATGAATTTATGAAATTAAGTTTTAAGAAAATACAGATTTTTAAATTCATCAATTAACCCACTACTGAGGGGCCTGAAAAATCCCATTGGAAGCTGATTGGATTTTGAGGATGTTATTTTAACACTTTCCTTATGTGTTTAACAGACACTTAACTCTGCTGTGCAGCACACAAATTAATCATCTTTTTAGGTGTGGCACTATTTAGGGAGATATAAATGAGTTTTCCCAACAGTATTAGACAAACTTCCAAGAAGCACTGTTAAAATATTCAGACAAACAATTTTTTCTTTATTTTTTAGTTAAGCTGATATAGTTATAATAGTTTATGGTTGCTACACGGTAGTAATCAGAGCCTGTATTGATACCCCTCTAAGAAGAGAATGGGCATTTCAAATTAAATCTATCAGTATTTTTATCCATTAAACTTAAAGTGCATTCACTTTCTTCTCTCCTTTGAAATGCCTCCGTTTTGTTGCATCCAAAACATTTTTGAATGGGTAAATCTTAAAGTCTTTCTCACTGGGTGAAATGTCCTCAAACCTTTGATGCACGACTACAGAGTGATTGTTGTTTGTTTTTTCTGCAGTATTCCTTAATTTTGTATTGATTTTTGAGGAAATGTAATAAAATCCGACAACAATCTAATGACATGATCTAGATTTATGACTGAACACACATCTGTAAAGTGACCTCTATATGGTTTCCATCCCAGACAAAAAGTGAGGAAGCTAGACCTCCACCAGAAGGGGTCAATACACAACTTTTAGTCTGATTACAGGCCTCTGTTGAATGCTACTCTGATAGGCTGGACAGACAACATAAATAAAGGCCTTTGAGTTTAACAGCAGTGATGTTTTTCCCCCAAAAAATGATACCGAGTGTGTCTGCGTGGATTGTGACGTGAAATGCAGTAGTTTGAAAGCTATGAATGTACTTCTTTTTCTATTTGTGTTAAATGATGTAGTTTTTGTTCCATGAAGAGTAAAGGCAATAAAGATAAGGTGAATGTGCGTTTCCCTTAGTGCTCCTCATATGCAGGTGTCCTGTGTGAGAGACGAGGTTCCCACAGAGTTGTGGGGGCGTGAAGATGCTAGGAGCTGATTATGATTTGATAGGCAGAGCCATTTTCAGGTCGGGGCTTGGCTTCAGTAGTGGTGGTTGGTTTTGGGGGCCAGTCCGGGTCCACGCTTAGTTCCTGGGCGAGATGCATGTATCGAGCTTTAGGTGTGGTCTTGCGTGGGCACAGCCAGGATAGACACCTGTACGCCTGCAGGTCAATCATCCCCTAAAAAAATCCCCAGGTTGTGAAATTAAACAGATTTTAAAAATCACATTAAAAGAAGAAAAGAGAAAGAAGAGGCTTTTGATCTATGTTCAGCTTACTTCAAATCTGTGGCTCACGTGTTTGTTTCCAGGCTACATTAACTGCATGCAAAAATTTAGACTCAAGGACTCAGTTCTGTGATAACAGGTAAAATCCATACATGCATGTTGCTTTAACTAAAATTCAGCATGAAATTGATCTGAAGGAATTGGTTATCAACAGTTAAAACAAAGCTGAGCTAACTTCTTAAAAACAAGCTCATGGAAAACTTAACACAGATCTTTAAAGATGGCCACACAGACACACTTTAAAGATTAGAATAAGGAGTCAAAGAAAAAAGAACCGTCAGGCTGCTATTTTTCTTCCCTCCAAATTGTAACATACCTGAGGACATATATGAATAGCGGTGACTGACATGCTCGACTGGACTCTAACAGGGAAACTAGGCTAAGCACAGCAAACAAGCTTTAGATATTAAAGCAAAAGCTGGCAAGCAGCATAGCAAGAGGGGAAACGGTAGCAAGTACAGGAAGATATTAAAGCTGCAATGAATTGAAAAACAATTCTATAAAAATGTTGGAAGATGCCTATTTTGGATAGTAATTAACACACAATAAGCTAAAAAACTTTAAAAGGAGAACTGTTGCGCATACGTTTCATTTTGAGCATTAATTTGTAAGCAGTATAAAATTCCCTACTTATTACCTCGCTTTTAAATGTTTCTGCTACTACTGAGCTGTTCAGTAACAGCATTATATTTAAACCTAATGCTAACCGATCTACCTGTTGGTATTAGCTCGAGTTTGTGACATTTAAACCTAGAAACCGATAGAATCAGCAGGTCAGAACTTTACTGATAAGCGTCCTGAAATCAGCCACATGCAGCAATTAGTTGGAGCGTTTTCACACGTGATCCAACAAATCAAAACCTTCTGAGACTCTAAAGGAAATCCCTTTTAGTTCTTGTTAAATCTGACCTCTTATGCTGTATATTTTGCAACATTTCACAAATTGTTCACCGTTTTTGTTATGATATACAGGTTTTTTTTTTTCTGACACATTATTTTGTTTTAATTTAACATAATGTCCAAATCTATTATAAAAATATTAAATTTTTCTACTAGGAAACCAGAAAAAGCAGCCAAATGTGTTCTCCATTGTGTATATCAATATAGTAATTTCTAAGTTGGTTTATAGACTGACCAGCTAGGTGGAATAATACAGTCATGACAGTGTGTTGTGATGCAATAAATGTCACCACCTTCAGGGTAACATTCACAATAAAAAAAAAAAAAATACTTCTTATACTAAAAAAACACGCTATTTAAACTGCTACACCCTGGTAGCTTCTAGAGAAGCTGGCAGAACTTCAGTAATATTTGCATTAATTTTCCATTTGGAGGTAATGAGGTTGGGGGTTGCTTTCATGCATGTCTTAGTTTGCTTTGTGACACAGAAAGAGGAAGTCAGGACAGAGAGAGGAAACACCACACATGAAGAGGAACAAGCTAAAGAAGGTGTCAGATTTTCCCAACCTGTGGTGTCGGGGCGGCAGGGGTGATGCCATAGTTGGCCTGTTTGTCTCTGCTGAACGCAAGCTTCCATAAGACGATGTCAAGGATGAAGGTCTAAGGAATAACAGTGCATTGGGCAGGGAAAGAATTAAAGAGGCGAATTTACCGTCCCATAGCTCGTGCTTTTATCATTTTAGGATTAACGGCCTTCAGCTGATCTTGCAGCAGAGCATTAGGAGATCAGTTTTTACTTTGCCAAGGCTGTGAAACAATTACATTTGGTATAAAAATAAAGGAAGAATTTACAGAGATTCATCAGTGTCAGAAGAACTGAAAAATTCTGATTATGCAGAATCAGTTAAGCTGAATTAGTTCATTCGCTTCAGAGATCAGTAGATTTTGCACTTGTAGCTCAGAGGAAGGCACATCTAGGATCTTTGTAAGCAGTGCTTGTTTGTAAGTGCAGCCATCTAAGAGGAAGGAGAGAAACTGGGATGCTGCTCAGGGCAGGTCAGCATAAACTATTGATCAATTCCATTTTTAAAAAACTTCTACCTATGATTAAAACAAACATGATACTAAATGTAGATTAAGTACTGGGGGAAATAAATTAAATAACTTCATCAAAGAAGAGAAAAAGGCTTCATTTATAAAACATATCTCAACAAAAGGTTGGGCCAGCTGTAAGGTTGTAAAGGGCAAAGATGAGCACATTGCATGAAAAAACAAAACTGAACATGACAAAAAATAAAAACATCTTAAATTACAGCATGTGTCTGTGTGTGTTTGCCTTACCTCCACCAAAACAGACACAGCAGCATTGGCTAAGATTATAAGGAAAAGCTTAAGCCGCCATTCAAAAGGGACACAGACGATCTGCAAGGACCAGAAAAAAAAAAAATAATTTGCTGTTACCAAAATACTACAACTGGGACAACCTCACCAGAATCAGTCAATTGAGATAATAAAATAAAAAAAATAAAAAAAGAGTCCATATTTATATGTTGAGTAAAATATGTTGGCATCCCTGTAAGAGGATTATAAATAAAAAAACACTTTATTACAGTAGAATATTATCGTACTAAAACTAAAAAAAAAATTAAAAAACAGTGTTATTGCGATTGCATACCGTCTGTGTGTTACATCTGACTATGTTTGTAAATTCATACAGACTTTGCAAATACTTTATTTATGTTACGGAGTTTCTATAAATTAAAATTAAAATTTCTTTCTGAGGGTGTACCGATCTTGTGACAGAGTCACATTTCTTCCAACCATAAAGTATACAGTGAGAAAAATAAGTATTTGAAAACCCTGCTATTTAGCCAGTTAACCCAATTAGAAATCATAGAGGGGTCTGAAATTGTCATTGTAGGTGCATAACCACTGTGAGACACATAATCTAAAAAATAAAAATCCAGAAATGACAATATATAATTATATATAATATTTGGTACAGTAGCCTTTGTTTGCAATTACAGAAGTCAAACATTTCCTGTAGTTTTTCTCCAGGTTTTCACACACATTAGGAGGGATTTTGGCCCATTCCTCTACACAGATCTTCTCTAGATCAGTCAGGTTTCTGGACTGTCGCTGAGAAACACAGTTTGAGTAAAGCATGATGCTACCACCTCCATGCTTCACAATAGGGAGGGTGTTCTTAGGATGGTACTCATCATTCTTCTTCCTCCAAACACTGTTAGTGGAATTATGACCAAAAAGTTCTACTTTGGTCTCATCTGACCACATGACTTTCTCCCATAACTCCTCTGGATTATCCAAATGGTCATTGGCAAACTTAAGACAGACCTTGACATGTGCTGGTTTAAGCAGGAGAACCTTCCATGCTTTGCATGAGTTCCAACAATGATGTCTTAACGTATTACCAACAGTAACCTTGGAAACTGATCCCAGCTCTTTCCAGGTCATTAACCAGCTCCACCCATGTAGTTCTGGGCTAAAATCTCACCTTTCTTATGATCATTGAGACCCCATGAGCTGAGATCTTGCATGGAGCCCCATTTTCTAAAGATTGCTCCAACAGTGGACCTTTTTTTCACCAAGCTGCTTGGAAATTTCCGCGTAACCCTTTCCAGCTTTGTGGAGGTGTAATATTTTATCTGTAGCGTCTTTGGACAGCACTTTGGTCTTGGCCATGTTAGCAGTTGGATTTTTACTGATTGTATGGGTGGACAGGTGTCTTTATGCAGCTAACGACCTCAAACAGGTGCATCTAATTTAGGATAATTAATGGAGTGATGATGGACATTTTGAAGGCAGACTAACAGGTCTTTGAGGGTCAGAAATCTAGCTAATAGACGGGTTCAAATACATATTTGCAGCTGTTTCATACAAATATATAGTTAAAGATCACATTTTGATTTCTGGTTTATTTTCTTTAGATGATGTCTCTCACAGTGGACATGCACCTACAATGACAATTTCAGACCCCATCATGATTTTTAAGTGGGAGGACTTGCAAAATAGCAGGGTGCTCAAATACTTATTTTCCTTACTGTATATACATATATGTGTGTTAATCATGAGTTTATTTCCTGCCTTGGCATATTCCCCATGTAAGTGAGCCAGAGCAGGGATCGCCTGTAGGCTCCAAGGGTTCGTACCTGTCAAAACTGTGCCTATTAGAAAGAGAAAAGTTGTGCTCCATTTAAATTGGATCAAAAAGCACTGGTGTGAAAACATCCCAAAAACAGTCTTTTCAGGCCTTGCTCACTAGAGTATCTGTGATGCTCTGGGCCTGTTTTTTCCCCCCTTGAAACCCCACGGACACCATTATAGTCACGAACCGCTTTTAAAACCAAAACTGAATCTGATGGGTTCATTCAGAACACTAAAATGAATCAATGCTGGGTCTGTCAGCAGGATAATGGATGATAATAAAAGCCTACAAACTATAGAAGAAAATATATATAAATCTTCGGTTTGTTTTGGCCAATTGATTACATGAACATATATCCTACAGAAAACCTGTGCCTGGAACTAAAAATAAGGAAGCATATGCATAAAAGCAACCTTGTTTAAAGCTATTATATCTTAACACTGTTTTTTCAAATTAAATGTTGGGTTTTTATACAGTTTTAGAATCAGAATACATTATTAACTTTTTCTAAGACAACTTTATCAGGGTTTCAAAAAAAAAAAAAATCAGTATTTGCAAAATATATAAAGGGAATGTAAAAATGTATAAGAGCTGAGTAATAACATCTGTACTTACCTCTAGGAAGCCATCGATGCTTTCCACAGGATAAAACATGATGAACAGCAGGAAAAAATACAGACTCACAGCAGATAGTACAAAAGGCCCTGTTGAAAAGACCATAACATTATATGATATATAATGCTAAATATGAGAGCATGGTGCATAGGAGGACAAAGAAGATGGGTACTCACAGTTCTTGTAGCTAGGTTGCCTGAAAGGTTTGCCTTTGGAGAAAACAATGGCAACAATGAGATACTGGAAGCAGGAGACATAGAAGAGACTGGTGTTCTCAAAGTTTTGGATGTTGTGTTCGTCTTTTTCTGTGCTGTTGTGCTCAGACGCATTCAAGTGGTCCGATCGGTTGCAGACGCTGAGTGCGGACAAAAAAATGTTGAACAGCGAAGTTTAAAAACCATAATGTGGCGTTTTTCCCTGATAAGACGCTCTAAATCAGACACTTACTCTGTAGCAGGTTGCCACACCTCGTACCAGGGCTGCTTTTGGACCCAAAGAAAAGTAATTATCTGGAAGCCCAAGCAGATGAGGATCTGAGTCAGCACAGAGAACAGCAGAGGCCCTGAGATAAGTCCTGATGGGGGGCGACGTGACACCAATTCTTTCCAGGCTGGGTTCAGACTCACTGAGGAGAAAAATTATGGTGGATATTGAGATCAAATAAATATTTAAAAAGGATAACGTTTGCAATTTGAGTTTTACTCCTTCTATACTTACTGGTAAAGACGATGAGGAGGATGATGGCAATGTCAATGAAGAGAAACTGGAAATCTCCAAGGTTACTGAGGACCTAAGAGCAAAGCCAACCCCACATATTAGTAAACAGGATGGATTTTCCCTGCTTTCATCGCTGCTAATAGTTGACATACCGAATAGAGGAGAGTGACGCTGATGTACTGGATGATGCTGTAGAGGGCCATAAACTTGAACACACAGAAAGAGGTGATGAGAGCAGCGCGTCCCTCCCTGTGAAGGCAAGCAGACAAGGTCCATCAATTCAATCATAAAAAGGATAAAAAGAGGCAAATTGTTCCCCGAGAATTCCTTTGTTTGTTTACTACCCATAATTTATAAGAAAATAATCCCATGGAGAACTGTGTATGCAGCAGCAGTCTGCACAGCAGACGATCTGGTCACACTGCCTGTAATGCAACTATATAACTATTCAGGGTTTCATTTCAACTCCCTAACTAAAGGTAAATATGGGAAATGCACCTTTAGCTCTTAGTGGTACCAGGGAACCTGGTAATTTAAGACTGCAGGTCCATAAGCCAAAAAAAAAAAGTAAGGATATTTTGATGGCAAAAAATGGATGTCAATGTAATAACAAGAAAGGCTAACCTGCCAGAATATATTAAGAAAAATAACAGAAGTGCTTCTATAAGAAATTCATGAAAAAACACAATGGGAGTGAAAGAAACACATTTTTTTTGGTACATTAGAGGCATTAATGCCGATACTGACCCATTTTTTTAGTTTATAAACCAAAATATACTTGTTAACTAGGCTTATTAACTTTTAAACTTTACTTTTTTACTTTTTAATTAGTTGTTTACCATTTTTTGTTGACTTGTTAACTTTTTTTTCCGACTTAATTTACATTTATCATACTATATCATTTAAAGGGTCATCTAATTGGTCAAATGCCAAAATAAGATGCACAGCAATGTAGCAGGATCCTTGCTGAATGGTTGGATAGAGATATTGTGCTTCTAGACCTCATTGAGGGACTGGGGGGGGGGGGACTCCATTTGTAAGGGGTATGCAAGTGATCAAAAACATTAACTTGCCCTATAAAGGGTTAAACTAAAAAGTGCCCACAGCATGACGCAGCCACCATAATCATATCATTAGCTCTCCATTCTCCTATGAAAGTGCAGTGGTGGTTTGTAGGACTGATAGAATAAAGGTAGATTTCCAAAGTAATCACCAGGGCCGCATTTGATAATAAATGAGTTTATGTTGAGGAATCAGAGCAAAAATTACTTAATGAAAACGTATGCATCACTTTTTAGCTCTCGTCTTTGTATAGAAAACAAAAACAACCAAAAGGAGCCTATCCTGAAATACTGTTTCTATAAAATCCCAATTAAACATACTGCCACAGTTAGAATGTGTGGAGGAAGGACTTTAAAAGGGAAAGAACAGTAACCTGATGAGACTCGGGACACAGGAGATGTTGGGGGTCCTGGAGGTGAAGGGGGAAGCTACAGAGGCCTCAAGCTCTGAAAGAGAGATCCCACCATGGGCCCTCTTCAGCGCCTTTTGGTTCAGAGAAAGAAAAACTTTTTAACATGTTGAGTTCCATGTATATAGACACTAAGCAGCTTCTATTTTAACTACAACAGTCAGTTTACATACCCCACAGTCATTTGCACCATCTCCACACATTCCCACAAAGTAACTAGGAAAAAATAGAGCAGAGATTTCCTGATCATTATTGGAGCTTTTACAGGTCTTACTTTTAACACAACGCCCCCAGCTCATTGATTTAAAGAACCACTCATGCATTCAGAATTCAGAATAAAGCCCAGCATCATGTGTTTATCTTAAATACTCACTCTACTCCCTGTAGTGTCTCAATGAGCTGGGTTTTCTGGTCTGGAGCCATTCTGGCAAACACCGTCCCGTGCAGCACAAGCTACAGACAACATGGGATCATTTTCAGCGTTCTATAATTACTGGAGGGATTTTCACTTTCGTGGGAGATTTTTCACACCTTCTGAAGCATGTCTGGGAAATGCTCGGCAATGATAGCGAATGATTTTCCATTCATGGCAAAGTGGTAGAGTTCTTGTGTTTTAGGTTCCTCCACATGGCCTTCGTGCTCCAGGCTGATGCTGATTTCCTGTTAAACATGACAGATACATTAAAGTCCTGTTTAACCAGTTTCTTCTAAAAACTAGATTCTCAGAAAAACACAGCTCTTGTGTTTCCATATGAATGTTTAAAGAAAAGAAAAATTAGGACATCTAATTTCATAGCAAATAGCTTTATTTAAGGGACAATCACATACAAATCAAAACAATCTTTGTCAAAGTGCAACCTGAGAGGATGGAACATTAAAGTGTTGATGATATGATATTGATTTAATATAATTTTGCATTAAAACCATGCAGCAGTACATACCAGGTGGTTCTGAGTTATTAGGAATCAAACAGGCTAATTTTTATCACCAATATCCTACATTTAGTAGTTCTCAAGTGGCATTCTGATTAACAGCCAGTAAAAACCCACCTCTGAGTGCTGACATCAGAGGAAGAACCCTTTTGGAGCTAGCTCAACGTTCTATATTGGAGCCTGATGGAAACACTGATGGTGATAATGTTTCCACCACATCTAGAATGGCTTTGTGTGGTTGAACCATCAACCAGTTCAAGCTCAGGAGAAGGTAGTGATGCTGAGGACCAAGGAGCATCATGCCTAGAGAGTAGGGGGTGTAAATCACATCCATCATGGCGATTCGATTCAGTATCGATTTCCTGACCCATTGATTCGATTAATTTCGATACTCAAGAATACAGCACAATATGATTTGATTAATTGTTGTTTTTTTACCTTAAAGGCTAGAAAATGTTTCAAATTTGAAATAAATCAATGAAAGCTGTAATATCGTTATGCATTTTTTGAGAAACAACAGCAAATAACAGAAGCAGAAAAGTTGCACTCCACCTATTCCTATTAAAACCTCATTCACTGAAAAAAAAAATAATACCCCTGCGTTATAGATTCTGAAAGGCTTTGCATCAAAAAATACTGCACAAAATCAGTGCAATAAGTGCAATGCAATACCTCGGCTCCAGACGTCCCCGCCCCCTACACAGATGCTCCGCTGCTCCTCTCCCAAATTGTAGCTCACCGCAAAAAGTGCCGCAGACAGGAGGCTGGCTTGTTTTGTTTTTATGACCGAAATTGCACAAAACAACTCGTGCAGTTTGACCCGCTAGAAGAGCGAGGTGCACGAGAGCGCTGGGAGCCTTTTTCCACCTGGATCCCCACTCTTTTTGGTTCTCATGTCCCTCCGTCGTCGGACTAAACTCGCCACCACTTCCTCACCGCCTCAGCCGTATCTAGACCCACAGTGTGTACCACAGACCATGCTTCCATATTGAGCATAAATCAAAAATGTCTGTGTCAAGCTCACTGCAACACACTGCTGCAGGAGTATAACCAGGAAGCGAGGTAGGAGGGCATATTAGATTTAGCCCCACCGCAGCACGGGAGGAAGAATTACGCAAATGGATAAAAAAAAAAAAAAAACATAAATTCGATACTCTTGCGGACGTATCGATGCATCGGATCGTTGGCTGTTGGATCGATGCATCGATACAAAATGATTATTATATACACCCCTTTTAGAGAGCGGACCTCAAGATCTCAGTTTCTGAGCTGCAGGGTGATGCTCATATGACCGCAGCAGCCCCGGTAGAAAACGACTTGCTACGCCTCTGGTACATATAGCATAACCAGCTATTAGTTTATAAATTTTAAGTAGTATATCCATCCATCTTCTTCCTCTTATCTGGGGTCGGGTCGTGGGGGTAGCAGCTTCAGTAGGGAGGCCCAGACATCCCTCTCCCCAGCCCCTTGGCCAGCTCCTCTGAGGAATCCCAAGGAGTTCCCAGGCCAGCCAAGAAACAAAGTCCTTCAAGCGTGTCCCGGGTCTCCCCTTGGGCCTTAAGTGGTATATAATGCTCTAAATGAACATGATTTCCAAATAAATTTTTCACCACTGTTACATGAAATTATCTAATATATTCTTAAAGGTCTAGCTAGAAACTCCACCCATCCTTCACTGCCAGGGTTGTCAGATCTGCCTGTTTCCAGCCAAAAAACAATGGTCAATGGTTCAAACCCACTGTTCCAACTCTCTGTTGGTCTCCTGTATACGTTACTCTTATTTTCTCCCAATGACTGAGCACGCTTGAAATTACATTCATCATCAACATTATATTCACCCTCAGTTTTGGTCTGAAAAATATGCTAAAAAAAAAAAAAAAAGTCAATACCTTGTCATCAACACTTCAATGTCTGCCTCTTACAGTCCGGGGTTCCTCCTTCCTACCTCCAGTCTAGTTGTCCTGCTGGGCTTGTCGGCGTATCTCCACGTGATTTTGGCAGCTTGTCCATCATGAGGAGGAAAGGCATCAGCAATGATGACCGTGTCTTCAGGAGGGATCATTCCACAGTCACGGGCCACGGAGATTGCCGTCAACATGTTGTCACCTGGAGAGTTGAAGAAACAATCGTTTTTTTTATGTTATCTAGAAACTGTTCAGTCACATTTTAAGAAAAGATCAAATTCTGTATCAATTTAAAAAAACATGAATCTTAAGAAATAAAGAAAAATCTCCTGGTTCACCCACAACAATATGAAGCATTAATGTTTTAGGAGCATTAATGTCTAATAAGCTTTAAATGACAATGAATACATGTAGCAGAGAAGCTGACCTACTTTTAGATCAGTAATTAAAAGCAAAGTAACCCAATTAACAGAAAACTGAGTAATTTCATAGAGCTACAAGCTTTCTGGGCTTTGTGTCTAATTGGTAACTTCAGAGGAAGGAAGTAGGCTTGGGCAAAAAAATTTGATTCAATTAATTATTTCAAAATTTTTGTCGCTGGCAATTTAAAAAAATCAAATCGATTTTTATATATATATATATATATATATATATATATATAAAAATCGATTTGGCAAAATCGATTTTTATATATATATATATATATATATATATATATATATATATATATATATATATATATATATATATATATATAAAAATCGATTTTGCCAAATCGATTTTTATATACAGGTGCTGGTCATAAAATTAGAATATCATGAAAAAGTAGATTGATTTCAGTAATTCCATTTAAAAAGTGAAACTTGTATATTATATTCATACATTACATACAAACTCATATATTTCAGATGTTTATTTTGTTTAATTTTGATGATTACAAATGACAACAAATGAAAATCTCAAATTCATCATATCAGAAAATTAGAATATTGTGAAAAGGTTCAAAATTGATGGCCCCTGGTGCCACACTCTAATCAGCTAATTAACTCAAACCACCTGCAAAAGCCTTTAAATGGTCTTTCAGTCTAGTTCTATAGGCTACACAATCATGGGGAAGACTGCTGACTTGACAGTTGTCCAAAAGACGACCATCGACACCTTGCACAAGGAGGGCAAGACACAAAAGGTCATCGCTAAAGAGGCTGGCTGTTCACAGAGCTCAGTGTCCAAGCACATTAATAGAGAGGCGAAGGGAAGGAAAAGATGTGGTCGAAAAAAGTGTACAAGCAAGAGAGATAACCGCACCCTGGAGAGGATTGTGAAACAAAACCCATTCAAAAATGTGGGGGAGATTCACAAAGAGTGGACTGCAGCTGGAGTGAGTGCTTCAAGAACCACCACACACAGACGTATGAAAGACATGGGTTTCTGCTGTCACATTCCTTGTGTCAAGCCACTCTTGAACCACAGACAGCGTCAGAAGCGTCTTGCCTGGGCTAAAGAGAAACAGGACTGGACTGCTGGTGAGTGGTCCAAAGTCATGTTCTCTGATGAAAGTAAATTTTGCATTTCCTTTGGAAATCAAGGTCCCAGAGTCTGGAGGAAAAGAAGAGAGGCACTTCATCCACGTTGCTTGAAGTCCAGTGTAAAGTTTCCACAGTCAGTGATGGTTTGGGGTGCCATGTCATCTGCTGGTGTTGGTCCATTGTGTTTTCTGAGGTCCAGGGTCAACGCAGCCACATACCAGGAAGTTTTAGAGCACTTCATGCTTCCTGCAGCTGACCAACTTTTTGGAGATGCAGATTTCATTTTCCAACAGGACTTGGCACCTGCACACAGTGCCAAAGCTACCAGTACCTGGTTGAAGGACCATGGTATCCCTGTTCTTAATTGGCCAGCAAACTCTCCTGACCTTAACCCCATAGAAAATCTATGGGGTATTGTGAAGAAGAAGATGCAATACACCAGACCCAACAATTCAGAAGAGCTAAAAGCCACTATTAGAGCAACCTGGGCTATCATAACACCTGAGCAGTGCCACAGACTGATCGACTCCATGCCACGCCGCATTGCTGCAGTAATACAGGCCAAAGGAGGCCCAACTAAATACTGAGTGCTGTACATGCTCATACTTTTCATGTTCATACTTTTCAGTTGGCCAACATTTCTATAAATCCTTTGTTTTTATTGGTCTTCAGTAATATTCTAATTTTCTGATATGATGAATTTGAGATTTTCATTTGTTGTCATTTGTAATCATCAAAATTAAACAAAATAAATATCTGAAATATATGAGTTTGTATGTAATGTATGAATATAATATACAAGTTTCACTTTTTAAATGGAATTACTGAAATCAATCTACTTTTTCATGATATTCTAATTTTATGACCAGCACCTGTATATATATATATATATATATATATATATATATATATATATATATATATATATATATATATAAAAATCGATTTTAGGTTTTTTGCTTCCCAGAGTTTCTGTAGCTGCAGTATTACTCTTAGGTTGCAGTTTTGCAAGCGACAGCATCACACGAAACCACAAAAAACATCATAACCACAGGTGAGTGAGAAGTTTGTTCTAAAAAAAAAAAAGGAATAAAATAATTCTGTTGTTTGGAACCGCAGGGCTTAAAGTTCTTTGGCATAGTTGAATTGAGTCCCCATGGATCCAACCAGCTCCTACTCTGTGTGTGCTCCCAGTGAGGGAGTACAACTTCTGGCGGGATAACTACCTTGACATGACACCGTGGAAGAAGGGGGGTGATGAGCTTATTTTATATGCAGTTGTATTAGAAGAAATGGGGTTGTATATAGAAATGCATATTTTCAAAGGTTCCCGGTCCAGATAGCTAACAAGCTAGCTGTTAACAGAAGCATTGCTGCCAACAGCGCGCAACGGTAGTAATGCCAAAAACTTGGTGCCCCATTTGTACTTATTGCTTTCCTTAGTAATTAGGGACAAAAAATAAAATAAAAAAAACCATAAATCCTATTAAAAAAAATAAAAAAAACAGATCTTATTTTTAGGCCATATTGCCCAGCCCTAAATGAAAACGACTAAGCTTAAGGCAGACAGAGAGATTCAGAACATTTTATCAGCAGAGATAATGGGAAATATCTACACTGATTATTTCTCTAAAGCACTCTGAGCTGTTTTTATTAGTTGTGTCTCTTGTTTATTTATATTTGAAGCCTTTTCCAGGTCTTACCAGTAACCATGATGGTGCGAATGTTTGCTTGGCTGAGGTCCTGCAGCACCCCTGGTGTTTCAGCCTTTAGCTTGTTCTGCATGATGATGAGACCCAGAAACTCCATGTTTGCCTCTATGTAATCCCTAGTGAGACAACAAAAACACATTAAATATGCAGCAAGACAGTGAAAACACATTTTGCATCCGAGGGAAGAACTATTGGAAAGTGAACAAATTTACTACTTATTTTCAAAAATGATTCCTTTTTAAATCCTTTTAAAAAGCTGATAGTCATAGTTCAAACTACCTGTTGACGTTTTGGACTTTGTGCCAGCTGAGCTTCGATCCAAGCCGTCTGTGAGCCAGAGCAATGACTCTGAAACCCTGCTTAGTGTAACCCTCCAAAACCTGGGCAAAGTTTTCTGGCACTGGAAAACAGTTTGGATAGGGGGGTAACACAAAGGATAATTGGTTATTTTCACAGCTGTCTATTGTTTAAATTACAGCTTTCCCTAAATGATATAAAATAACAGAACTTTATGAAGTTTTATCGGGATGTAAAACAAAAATACAGAAACATGTTTAAATGAAATGCTTGATAATTTGCTTTGACTCCTCAGGGGAGAAGACTAGAAGCACCTCACCAGTTTCCCTCTTGCACAGACTGGCCACCACCTCTGGTGCTCCCTTCATGTAGGTGTCCATACACTTCTCCCCCACAGTACGACACACAACGCTCATCCTCTGCAGCGCCGAGGAAAAAGGAAACTGCCGCACAATACCTATCTCATATAATGACTGAACACAGGAAAGTGTAAGACTTTAGTTACAAACAAATACTAGTTACACATACAGACTACGGCAGTTGATCGTTTTTTCCCCAGGATGATTGTTTCAGGGCTGCTCAGTGGCGCAGTGGGTTCTGGGTTCAATTCCCGGCCCAGGGTCTTTCTGCATGGAGTTTGCATGTTCTCCCTGGGCATGCGTGGGTTCTCTCCGGGTACTCCGGCTTCCTCCCACAGTCCAAAAACATGACTGTTAGGTTAATTGGCTTCTCTAAATTGTCCTTAGGTGTGAGTGTGTGTGTGTGAACGGTTGTTTGTCCTGTGTGTCTCTGTGTTGCCCTGCGATGGACTGGCAACCTGTCCAGGGTGTACCCTCTCGCCCATTGACTGCTGGAGATAGGCACCAGCACCTCTCGCGACCCCAATTGGGACAAGCGTGTAAGATAATGGATGGATGATTGTTTCAAGAACCAAAAGCTAAATGTGAAAAAGGACCAATTTCACTTCAAATATTAAAAAAAACATGTTATTTCTTTAAAAAAAACATGAGAACCTAAACATTTTTAGTTAAGATAATCTACCTTCAAGGACATCAAAATTCCATCCTAACTGAAAAAATGCCAAGATACTAGAAACTAAAAAAAACATCTGAAGCGGCACAATAGAGGCCAACTAAAACTAAAATTTGGCACGATAAAACACATGAACTTTATTTATGAATACACAAAAAATAAGCACAAAAAAGTAATCAAACAATAAGAGCTGTAACATACTGCTATGTCAGTCCTTAAAGGAAACAACATATAAAAAATATTGCTGCAATAATAGCCTTTATTTTGCAGAGGATAAAGAGAGAAAAGGAATAGACAAGCAGCAGTCTCAGGGATGGGAGCACTTCCTCTGCATTGGTCTCCTCTCACACATGCAGAAAAATAAGGTTTTGGAAGGAATTCTAAAGTACATTAAAATCCAAAGAATTCAAGATGAAGCTTTTTTTGTTGATTTCAGCATTGAAAACTTTAAACTTAATGATCACAGGCAAAAAACAGACTACTCACCGAAAGCTCAGCAAGTTCCTTTAACAGCAGAAAAACAAAAAATTCCAGGTGTTAGTGTAAAAATGTCCTTTTTCATAAATATCCTTCTAAAGATGGAAATATTCCTTAAGATCACTGCTATAAAGTGGATTAATTGCAGCTGTTGAGGTGTTTAGTTTCTGCCCGTACCATGTCCTGTTCAGCTGATTCATCAGGCTGCGAGGGCAGCAGCTGCTTGGGTGGTCGGACCACAGTGGGCATGATGCGGTTATGGAGAGCAGTTTCCTCCTCTGTGGCTTCCTCCAGGATCTGGAAATGATCACATGAAATTTAGGGAATTAAAAGATTATAAAAAAAGAAAAATAAATCTTCTGCTTTCTTTTTCAAGAATTTCCTTGATCTGACGGTTGAGCTTGTAGATTGAACTACAGAGGAAAATAATTAAGGGCTTTCTCTTAACAAAGTTGTGTCCATTTGAAGTAAATATATGATTTAATGTTACAATTAATAAAAAGCATACAGAGGCTCATTTTACATTTTAATTTACACATGACTGTGTTTATAGAGACCCTCACCCAGCCTGTAGCCTCAAACATTTTGAGGTCCAGTGGATCTCCAGACAGCTGGCCATCTATTTTGGTGAGCGAGTGGCAGGTGGCCATGCAGGCCACAAACTGCGACTTGACAAGATTCTCCTTGCTGGCACTTTCCTCTGACTGGTGAAAACTAATGGAGGAAAAGATTACATTTTAAGTGAGGAAAGGCAAGAACACTGTTAAAATGGATTTTAAAATTCCTTCATAGTGATTCATGTCATAAATATATGATCTTCCTGAATGCTGACCAAATCTCAGCAATTTTAAGACCTTCCACAAACTAACCAAAGAGTAAAATCTGATGTTCCATATGTTATCCATCAGACCAACGTACCGGCCACTTTCTGCTCTCTGGAATCCCCAGAGGTCCAATCCATCCTCTGTTAAAGTGCCCGTCTGAAAAAAAGAAAATAACACAACTAGAATGAATTGATTTCTATAAATATCCCAGTTTAGCGGCAGTTCAGGTCAATGTGTTTTTTTTATTTTTTTTTATCTAAGACAGTGAAAGACTTACTTTATCGAAGCAGACCAGGTTAATCTGCCCACAGATGTTGATCCGCTGCGGACTGATACAGAAAATGCCAATTTTTTTGAGACGACGCTGGGCGTACACAATCCCAGCTGTCATGGCTGCTGGCAGCGCTGGTGGCACCGTGATGGTTATGATATCCAGAGACTCGATGATGATGGTTTTTGCTGGCACCTGGAAAACAAAGAAAGTCAAACAATTTTCTGCTGTCCTAAGGTTTCTCCAAGAGCTGGGAAGATCGCTACTACTAGTAAACTACTGATGGCAGTTCCTAAAATGAGCAAGTTCTAACTTTATGTGTATTATTTTCACAAAGACAAACAGATAAATAAAGGGCTCTAAAATAATCTTAACAGCATATTTCAAAAGCAGCTTCATATTCAAAAAGTTATTGTTTCAAAAGAGGGAAGTTACTAAGTTTTGTCTTTTGTTTAAACCTCAGGCAGTGAACAGCTCAACTCTAATACTACGTTCATACCTGAAGCAGCCGAGGCAGCAGAAGCAGCTAGTTAACATGCAAAGTCAATGGTTGACGCGCACTGCTGGAGTTGGAACTTGTGCAACTTGTACAAGCATCAAACTCATTTTTGCTGCTCTTGCTGCTTACGGTATGGACATAGCATACGTGAAATAGACAGATCGACTCTCATGTACGGAGAGGTTTTATTCTCTTGGCTTCCCTCTGTAGTACCTTGTTCATGACACTGAGGACGATTGAGTAAATGAAGCCGATCCCAGCTACGGCCACCAGACACAGCAGAAAGAGGTAGGCGTCGCGATACAGCTTGAAGTCGGTGGGTTTGGGATAAAGGATGGAGCGCACCAGCTGGCCTTTGGCTGTGCTGAAACCTGGAAAAAACATCAAGAAAAACTCAGACCACATCTGCCTCAGAAAGAGGTACTAATGATACAACTTAAGTCTAAAGTCTCTGTTGCGTCTTTCATTTGAAAAATAACAGAGTTTTAAAGGGTCCTGATATGTTGAGTTATTGCTATGATGAGCAGTGAAACTACATTTAATTTTAGTTGCAAATACATTTCGAAAGACTTTAAATTAGCACAAAGACACCTTAATAGATCAGAATAATAAGATAAATGTATATTTATATATCTTCTTTAGCAATGACATCCTTATGTCATTGCTAAAGACACCTATGACTGTCCAAACCTTGAACTTTTCTTACTGAGAGTAATGAATGAATACTATATAAAAACTAGGGGTATAGAGGAAAAAATCTAATTATCAATTAATCGGATGAAACAAGTTTTAATCTTATTGAATCAACAAAGCATAAAATCTCATTATTGTAATGCTAAAACCATCCACTAGGTGGTGCTGCTGTTCACTCTTAAGTGGAGCCTTGGCAAGAGAAGTTAATTCCAGATTTAAGACATGCTGAAGTAGAAACATGAATTGTATTTAAACTCTTTAACACTTTATTAACTCCTTCAGTTATGAGCTTAAGTTTCACACATTTTATAATTTTATCAGTAAGTTAGGTTTCTATTTTGTTATATCCTATAGATTTTTCTTGAGTAATTTGCAAGAAAACATTTTTTTGTTTATTCAGTTGGTATTTAATACAGCTGGCACAATGAATTGATAAAATCCAAAATAATATATAAATTAATCAGTGGATTAATTACCTAACTGTATTTATTTATCAATAACTTGCATCCCTACTTAAAATTTTAACCTTTAAAACCGAATTACTGAAATAATGAAACATTTTGACTCCTAATAAACTGACATGCATCTTTATATTATTCCCATGCTAACGTCCAGAAAGACATTCAGGCCTTAATGCTGACCTGTGCGGACCACCACAGCTTTGACCAGTTCTCCTGTGTAGAAGCGGGTTTGGATGACGTCGGTGCCGCAAAACAGTGTGTGTCTCTTATGCTCCTCTGTGTTGTAGGCACTGTCCGCCCCCTCCCGCTCTCCTGGTACGGGGTTAGGGAGGTTGGTCTTTGTCACAGGAACACTCTCGCCTGATAAATAGTATACTGTTAGTTTGAATGGCAGCAAATGCAACTCAAAACAAAAACACTGCAATGTTAACCATCAGTTTACAGACGGGTTTTCCAGTCTCACCTGTGAGCATGCTTTCATTGACGATGCAGGTGCCGCTGACCAGCACTGCGTCGCATGGCATGATGGTCCCATTGCTTGGAATGACCACCACATCACCAGGTACCAGATCAGTTGACAATATCTCTTCAACATCTGTAAGAAGTGGAAGCCACATGAAAATAAAACAGAAACGAGAACAAAGCAGAATTTAGCATGAGTGTTCAGGGATGTGGTTGATTGAAGAGCAACACATCAAATCATCACTTAAGATTGAAAGGTGAATTTAAACAATTCTAAATATATTATACCCATCAACATCTGGATGTAATGGGAACAGGAGAGCAAGGTATTGATTTATATTTTCAAAAAATTATACAAAAACAAAAGTATTTAGCTTACCATTATTTGCTCGGCAAACAGACACACGGACAATACTGTGAGCTGCCACCATATCATGAAGCATGACGTATTGCTGCAGAAAAGAGAAAAAAAAGGGATGGAAAGATGTTAAATTCAACATATAGTGGTGTGATGAGCCATTACAGTTCTGCTCCACCTTTAGTTGTCTCATTAAAAACTGGGAGATGAACCATAAGTAGATAAATCATCAGTTTGTGTCACGAATAAGGCAGGTTAGAAAAATATTCTAAGGTCCTGAAAGATACATAAACTTAAAATTTGAGAGATTTGGGATCTTGTTATTATTAAGTATTTTAAAACAGAAGCCCAGTAGAATGTCTGATCTTCTGATACCAGTGATGAGCTGAAAGACTTCAGTGGCTTTTTTTAAAGATGCTAAAGTTCTGCTAACCACTGCTCTGCTTCGAAGCAGACTAAATCCTGCAGGAAATGTGTTTTAATTACAGCTTTTATTTCTTAAACATTAAATGAAAGGACTGAAATGTATTTATTTTGTAAAGCCAAAGTTATTAGTAGCCCCTATCAGAAAACATTTAGTCTTTGCAGACAGTTTTTCATAACATGCTAAAGTTTCCAACTTTAAATTGTATAGAAGTAATCAGAAATACTTTTTCTATTTCTGGAAAAATTTCTTTGTATTCGTTGGTAAATCCAACATTTATTCAACAGAGAGCAAAAATAATAACAGCTGTCAGCGTAAGCCCTAAATATTAAATACAACTGATCATCCAACGTCTGACAAATATTCTAGAAAAACTAAACGCATTTTGATATAAAATTAAGGTTTGCTATTCAGACTTTAGACCATTTATTATAAGTGTATACAAAACAAGCTTACAACTGTCTGTATCATATGAACAAATCTAAAATTTTGGAGAAGAAACAAAAAAGGAAAAGACTAAAAGTTTCTAACATGAGGGCTACAGAATGTAAAAAAAAAAAAAAAAAAAGTAAACAGGACTCTTCATAAAGCATCATTAAGGGGTCGTTCACAGTTGTCAACATTTAAGAAAGTAAACGACCCCTAACTCAGTAAATGTTTTACATGTTAAACATCTGCTCTTCTTTTCCTTCATAGTTGTATCATTAGACCCTAACGTGCAGAAGAAGTTCAGCTGCATTTAGACATGCATGTTTTCATTGCTTAGAAAGTCTTACCTTTTTGATGGTGTACAGAGAGGTAGCTATGGATATAACCGACATGAAAACAATGGCCACAGCATAGTAGTAATACTCATCAGCACTCCACAGGATTACGCTGAAGAGCTGGAAAATGTAAAAAGGGTTGAGGACCTGCAAGAGGAGACAAGGAAGAGGAGAGGCACCAAACTAAAGTTAGCTTGAAAAACAAAGATGCTCTTCTGCAGGATAGGAAGAAAACAACGATAAAAGAGAAAAAAAAAAAGTAAAATACATAATTAAAAAAAATAGAACAGGGAAAGAGGTGACTAGGTGAAAACCTTTAGAGAAAATAAGCCTTGTTCCATGATGTAGCTTTTGGAGCATTAAAAAGAAACGGTCAGATCTCCAGGAATAAAAGTCCAAACGACCTAAAACTCGTTAAGAGTGGGATAACTGTGTGTTTTTTCTGCCAGCTGAGTTTTAGACACAATGGGGAAGAAAGGGAACAAGAAGCAAAGCCTAGAATGAAGAGATTATGTTGCTTTTACCTCTTTGATAAGCAGCTTGAAAACTGAAGGCACTTTCACAGCGATTTCATTCACTCCAAAAAACAGTTTCCTGACAAAACAAAAGAGAAACACATTTGACGCACAACATGGCAGCAACGCAAAAAAATATTAAAGAGAGCGTCTTACAGCCGTTTACTACGTACTGCAGACGTTTATTTCATAATATTGTGAACAATTGATACATCCTTGTATATGAAAACATTTCTTCACTAAGCTGTTTACACTCAAGTTAACTTAAGTATTCTGTCCACATTTGAAGGTTAAACTTTTTAGAGATTTTAGAGAAAAATATGCATTAAGAGTTTATGGGATATTTCTACAGCAGAAAGGCTTTAAATATGGCATCAGAAAACAGGAGGGAAAGAGAGAAGAAGGTAGGCCTAAAGGGAGGTAGGATCAAGGAAGTGAGGCAATGCAAAGAATGGCAATATATTGAAAAGGGAAGGAAAGAAACAAGGAAAAAATTGAGCAAAATACAAGGAAAAGGAGGTAGGAAAACAAGGAATTACAGAAAGAAGGGATGGTGGCACTACATGAGGATGAAGAAAACGTCCGGAGGTAGTACACAAGAAAAAGGGCTGTAGGAAGACAACTAAGGCAGAAAGAAAACAGGGCTCTAAATAAAAAGAGAGATAACTGCAAGGAAAGGGCAGCATCTCTTTACTTTAGAACATGGAAAGTTTAAAGGGTTTCGGTAGTTCTAATAGGACCTGTGGACCCAGAACAGCTGGGAGGATTTAGGTGTGATGTACCTGTACTCCTGCTGGTTCCTGGTCAGGCCTGCACTGTGCTCCGAGTGGATGGTGGAGCAACTGGCTTCAAGATCCTCCAGGCCGCTAAACAACACAGTTTAACCACAAGAAAAGGGACAGAAGTCAGATTTTAAACACAGCAGGGTAGGCAGACAGACAATACAAGATTAACATACAAAAAGGCTGCAAACAATGGTGTCAAATTAGTCAAAGTAAAAAAAAGAATTAAAAAAAAATTAACTTAAGCTTATTAAAACAATTGATAAAACATAAAAATTCTTACGTTAAAACTCTAAAGTTCTGCATCTCATCGTTCCAGTAATACTTTGTGCTATGGAAGGTAAAGTAGCGGATCTAAGAGAAAAAACATATCATTTAGATTTAAACAAATAGATACAGATTCATTGACAACCTGGAAAACCTGACCTCTGCTGAAAACTGATATCTTTATGTTCAGCTCACGATAAAGATATGATGACATCAAACAACTGAAGGTATGAATGGTGGATAATCAGTTGTGATATGAAATCTGTATCAGAAAATAAATATCCATGATTACAATATTAAAAAAATGTTGGTTAGACTTTGGAAACCAAAAGCAGATGTGCCGATTACCCCTCCCATTATGCTATGAAAGTCAGACAGGGGAGGATAATTCCTAATCTCCCCATCTATAAAAAAAGACTTTAACAAAATCATCTGATGAGAGGATTGCTTTTGTTTGTCTACTTTCCTGTGCTCATATTCAGGATCTCATATATTTTGCCATCAGACCTAACAGCTTTTGATGCAATTGTGGTTATTAAAGCTAAATTCTGTTCTTCATCAGCAAGAGGTAAGTTTTATTTTTAAATCTGATCTCAGGTCCATTTGTAACAGTGACAGCAGCAACATAGCAGTCTTAAATAGCTGATTAGCAATTGGTCGGTTTGCCCCTCTTGACCCAAGCACCAATACTTGATAGGGAAGCATCAGAGCTTGATTGCAGTGACCCGTAAAATGGCAAATATTACAGCTGGCATTGGGTAATACAGGGTCGACCCCGGAAAGGCCAGTCAGTACAGTTTGCTGTAGAAACCAACCATGGACGCATGCATTCAAACTTAGGAACACTTTGGAGTAAACTAAAAAACCAATAGTTGTGTTATTGGACAGCGGGAGGAAGTCCCCCAGGAGAAACCATTCCATACAGGGATTTAAACAAATGACCTCTGTTACATGCCTGCCAGGCTGTTTGTTTTTATCTCCCTCCACCTTTGGACCAATCAGGATCCAGGGAGGTCCTATATAAGCAAGCCACTTAGAGATCCTACCCCTTTTTGTTCTTGGCTTGCTTGCTGCATGTTTTGTTCTGTGTGTCTAATGGTCTGTGGTGGGAGTTAGTGGACAAGGTAAGGTTGGGGTACCCTGTACATCTCATCACGTAGGAAACTTTCTGTTAAACACACTAGGTAAGTAGGTGGATGCCGCCCTTGTAAAGTTTTGGTGAATCTTTTTGTTAGATTAGTTAAGCAGGGGTTTTGTTTCATTTGTTTTATGTAGCTTAGACCATAGGTAGGCCCTGTTTTTGTTTTATTATTTTCTTTGATTTGGCACCACCTAATCGTCCCTTTCTCCCCCACCATTTGTATGAGTTGCTTGGGATTTTCTGTAACCAATAAATCCGATTTTTCTTTTCTAACATTCACTTGGTCTCTGAATTTTTTTGTGGCTGTCAAGTTACTTCCCTCTCTCCCCAGTAAAGGGGGGGGAGCCGTAACACCTCTATTCAAGAAACAAGGTTTCATCCAAAGCCTGAGCTCAAATTTCATGTTTTTGGAAATGAAGCAACTTCGTTGTAATTTCTCATCACCTCTTTACTTCCTATAACTGTTTCTCTTGCATTAAATCACAGGTGTCACCAAATACATCACCGGCATAAAGACAGTGAATGTATGCCAGCTTAGCAGCACAGCAACTAGCACGAGCTGCTGTTGACAAGACCTTTAAATTCTACACACAGAGCCCCCCTCCCTCACCTATTAATCTGCTTCTAACATCTTGGTGTCGGATGCTGAAGCATAGCAACTTTCAGAGGAGGAAGTGTAGTCAAGAGGTAAGGAACTCATACATTTAAAATGATGTTAGCTAAACAACTTAATTTGGGCAAATGATTGTCTTTAGGTGAACATTTCCATCGGCTGGACACTGTCCGCCATTTTACTCCCATACTACTCAGTGGCGATTAATGGGCAGGGAGGGGTCAAAGCCCTGAGTGGCAGTTTTTACAGAGAGCCGCCCGGCCAGCCCCACTTCTAAACAAGAGACCGGAGAACATGGCAGACAGATGGTGTGAGATGCTTCACAACATTTTCTACCTAAAACATACATTTAGATTCTCATAAAGCTATATTTTTAGTTCTTTTTATCTAAAATAATGAATTAGTGCCTGCTGCTCCTTTAAAGATCAAGTAATGTCTGATAGATGAGAATAACAAACTTTTTCTCAAGGATCACCTCAGTGGTGAAGACTTTACATTTGTTTTTAGTTTAATAGTTAAACACTATCAGCTGCAGGCTCTGTTGGTTTTGCTTTACATATTCAGAGTTTTCACTATTATCATGCTGTGATGGAATATTTAGCCACCTGTGTGGGCTGGTAATAAGAAAATCTTCTGATGAGCTCCTGAGCAGGGCTGCCATCGGAGGGGTGAGGAGTGTGTCCGTTGGCCAGAGGTGTGGAGGAGGGGGAGGAGGGAGGGGAGGTGGTCTGGGTCTCCAGGCTGTGGAAGGGGTTGCTCCCCGGAGCAAGCATCACTCGTACCCTGGCCAGGAACCAGCGCCGGAACTCATCCTGGTGAACAGCAAACAGAGAGCAGCCGGTAAACTCACATTAGCAAAGAGCAGACAGAATGGTGGAAGAAGAGGGTTAAAGTTTGCTGTTTTAGTTCTTAGAGCAGAAGGAATTATGTATAGTAGAGGACTGAGCAGAAATGCTCCAGGATGGTGGGAGATGTAAATATGGACACAGTCAGGCTGAAATAAGACTGAAAAAGCACATAGATTCTGTCTTCAGCTATTAAGGTTTTATTTTTTATTTAATTTTTCAGAACTTGTGTTTCAGAGTAAAAAAAAAATAAAAGATTAAATAAAACCCAATTTTTCCTAAATCCCAGTAGAGTTCATGATAGCAGTGGTGTTATTCTGTTGTAAAGTTTGGGGGGGTTAGGTTTCAACCTTTGTGCAGTGGGTGTGTTGCTGCCACCAGAAGGGAACGATAATATTAATCTAACATGACTCAGTGATTATCAGAACATTTATCTACAGCTGATAGAACCAGATTTTACTACAGGTGTAATTACTACCTTGGTGTAAAATTATGTTTTTATTTCTCCTAGAAGGTCATCCTGGCTCAGTGTTTGTGTTTTCATTATTCTAGTAAACCTCCTTCCAAGGCAGCGTTGACTCTTTTCCTACCGTGGAGCGCAGCAACACCACTTCGGCGTCACGGGCTGTGGTATGGGTGCAGGTGGACTTGACGCACCATTCCGGCATCCAATAGAGCAGCAGGAGAAGGAAGCCCCCAGTACAAAGTACCCCGAAGCCTACAAGGGCCAGCCGCCAACGGCAGAACTGGTAGCCTTGTAGTTCCTTTAAAAAAAAAAAAAAAAAAAAGGATTGCAACATGGAGAGTAAAATCTCCTATGGACAGCGCTATCAAATCAAAGAGACTTACCATCTCCTCTTCTTCCCCCTTGTTGAGTATCTTCAGCTCCCCCTTCTCCATGTTGCTGAACAGATTGCCAAGCCCCTTCCTTAGTCACTGTAAACATTAACAGAGAAGATCTCAATCAGAATGGACACATTTCAGCTTCTTTTCTGCTAGAGCACCGCACGATGGATGAAAGGATAATTTGGTGCACCAGCGCCCAGTCCTTCAGAGCTACAATCCATCAACATTCAATCGGCTGAATTTCCTCATCAGATTCTGGTATTTTGTCGGATAGGAGCTCTCAGGAGGAGAATGGGTTCAGCATGTGTTTGACAATTAGTTGGGGAATAAAAGTGAAGATGTTATTGTTTCCCCACAAAAAAAAAGAAGAATAACCCCTTAACTGGGAAATGCTTAAACCATATCAATCAAAACAATAATAATAAATACTATTATGACTGATAAGGTTTCAAAACATGCCCTTTAAGTTCTGCAGCTACTAGCTAATAGATTATGGATTACGACTGACTATTGAATATGATGACTACTTTATGTTCTTCTGTTTTAATACAGATCACTGAAACTGATTCAATGGATTAAGTACAAAACCAGCTATTTAAAAAACCTAACTGGAATATTGATTCATCATAAGAGCAGAGAAAAACAAAGCCTTAGAAACACTGGAGGGATGACAGAGAACGAGGGGATGCTCTCCGTATGTCAGTGTTTAAAGAGCTGTGTGGAGTTACAAGAAACCCAGAATATCTACAGCCTGACTCTCAACAAGTAATATTGAAGAAAAGTCATCCAGTTACCTCCAAGCATGCCACAACAGAAAAGCAGGAAATAGCAAAAAGATTCATATCAGCCTCTTGCTCCATTGTTCATACACTGAGTTTTTTACGGTCAAGAACTGAAATAATGAAGATATAAGACATGCTTCTACTTGTCTGAACTTGCACTGTTGGCAGACATCCATCTTCCCAGCCAGTTCTAGCCTAGTTTATGTCCAAATTGGGAATTCAATTATTCTTATAAAATTCTTTGCTCTCTTCTGCTGCCATGTAGAATGGTTTCAGGTGTTGTGCCATATGCCATGATCATACTTTTTTTGGATTTATTTTCAATACACATTAAGACTACAAACAATAATAGCACATAATACAGCCTTTGACCAAAAAAAAAAAAAATTCTATATATGACCTGTTTTAAGGTCTACATATCCCCGATGGATTAACATCGCACACTAGAACCAATTCAGTCGATGACTTCATCACTACGCTTGCATTCCATTGGGTAAAATGTCCCCCGTCAAATTGACTGCCAGTAGGAGTTCTGTTAGGATCAGGATGCTGGGAGTCTTAGTGTTAAACTTTGTTTTTCACACCCAAGTGAACTGGATTGATTATTTGCTAACATAGATCCACACAAGCCAAAAGAAATCCTTAAAAGAATGGAGAGTTTCCATGATTGAGGCAAAAGAAAGATAAAATGGGAGTAATCCAAGGCAAATACATTAGTTCTTCTGTAGAGTTGGGGTGAATACGGGCCTTTAAGAAACAGCAACATAAAATCCTTTTAAGATTTGACCAGAAATTTACAATGATGCCAAGTAAAAAAAAATGACACAAAAGCAGATTTAGAAGATACCAAGTTAAATGAATATAGAGGAAGATGATAAAACACCATCTCCCACGTCACTGCAGCAAAGTGGCAGCACAATATCTGTGGACATGTTTGCTACAGGGTCAACCGCTCACTGGCCCTTTAACACCCAGAAATTCTGTGTGGCTGAGCTCAAACACAGATCTTATCAGGCAGCTACACCCAGGAGAACCTTTCTCTGATATACTCTGGGATATTTTACTTACGACCAAGCCCTTCCTTGTATTTTCCAATGGCAGCCCTCCCCTGGCCAGTGCTATGCAGTGGGTGCAGCACAGGCAGAACATTCCCTCCCAAAATCCTGCAATGAGTGGAAATACCAACAACAGTACATCACTGGGAGATTTCTATCCTGGATGACAGATTTAGAGAGGAACACAACGAGAGCAAACCTCTAAAAGGATCTCAAAGTATCAGGGCGGTTACTGGTATCAATTTATTCAAAGGTTTAGAAATAAAACTGCCATCAAAATGAGTCGAATCAGGGCAGCCAGAGTTTTCTCTTATCATATGAATTATAGAGATAGACAGTGTCCCCACCTCTCCAGCTGCTGCCTGTTGGATTTTTTTGTTTTTTCCTCCATCAAATACAAAAAATACAATTCTGCTTTTTAAGAATATTTCCTTATTTCAACAATAAAAAAACTAAATACAAACAACCACTGAACTGAGAAGCCTGCAGCACTGGGTAAAAAAAGCAGTGATGATTGGAGCAGTTAAAAATATTCATAAAACAATGATTACTGTGTGTCGGACAGTCGCAAACCCGCGCAGACCTCAAGCGGAAGTGCGCAGACAAAAAGCAGCTGTGATTGGTCCTTGGTATGCCATGATTATATCTCTATTTCTGAAATCTTTTAATGAAAAGAGAAAAATAAAATGCTTTGCCCAATTGTGGGCTGTTCATCACCATAATCTCTATAGCCACAGTTGCCTTTAAGTATCAGAGGTAGACCTTTTTTGATAACAGGTGTCATGCAGAAAAATCCCTCCCTTGCAGGCTCTCACTTTAAATGCACAGTCATGATTTTTGACTTCTAGAATTATAAAATGTTAAATGCAAAAAGAAGCAACAGAGATTACAAGTATGACCAAGTGTATACAAATTCACAGATATGAAGGGATTTGGTTCTTTCTCCACGAGTTGAAAGTAATTTAATATACAATGCAACTCCAAAAAGCAGTGGACAAGTTGTTACAAGCACAACCAGCAAACAGTCTACCATAGCAACCCAGTGGTGGTATTTGTTTTACTAACGCCGAACAGGACAACAGCTTAGGGCCCCAGAGTAACTAGAACCCAGGAGTTTGTTTTGTTACTTTCTAACAGTGGGTGATGCATTCAAGTTGGATTGTGTAACAAGTAATGCCAGAGCTGCAGTACGTTCAATGCACAAGGTTTTTCCTACATGGAATTGATCATGGCACACAGCCACAGCCAAATATGTCAGGAAACCTTCAGATTGAATAAAAAAAAAAAAAGCACATTAAAAATAATAAATTAATAATGATAATTGAACTTTATTGATCTCACATTGGAGAAATTTACCTTTGCATTTAACCCATCCCCTCGGGCTGCCATCGTGGGGCGCCCAGGGAGCAGGCCTACTGGTTATGCCCTAACAACTAGGCCGTCACTGTTATTCCAATCATAACAGTTTAAAAATTTATTTAAATATCATCAAATGTTAATGTATATCTTAAAAAAACAACATCACCGGCTCCTGTTGGTCTTGTTGTTAAATTGGTTAAAGTTTGAAGGTTACTGGTGGCTACAATGCAGATCTCTCAAGCAACACTTTTTCCAAAAGCAAATGGAGACATTTGTATTTTGTAGCAAACTTGGAAGCTGCAGTTCTACCCTTACTCTCTAACCACACTACTGAGAGCTGCAGAGGCTCCTCTAAGTGCTGTCTCACAGACACCTGCAGCTGCCCTGCATGCAGTCAGAGCAAAGAGACTAGCTCTGTCTTTTTCCCACAGCTAATGTATAACCAAGCTGCCAATGATTCCACCCTGGATTACAAAGCCAGATATAAACAAAATGCAAATATAGTTTTTTTAATCAAGCTTTTTTCCCCCCCCTCAGTTACACTGTTTCCCTAAAATAATTATGGGCAACCACACAGCTTGGACTACTTTTTCACCTCATAATGTATCTGCCTCCGACTATCATCTATTTGTTAAAATCAGATGTATATAGTGTGGATTTAGGCAGCGTATAACAATTCATACATTACAGAAAGTACGGTTAATTTACGTTGCATCTTAAGAAAATTTCAACAACAGTCAGGTAGTTATTATAGGTTTCTGAGAGATACGATAATGCAGCTACTGATTGAAGAAATAGAGGGTCTCTAAATAGTAGTTTGCTTAGAGCTGGTCCAGCTAATGTCCAGCTAAAGATAGTTTGTTCAATTTTTTTTCTATAATAATTTTGCTGCTGTAAACACCAGAATTTCCCAGTTATGGGGCATAAAGGGATTTTCTATTCTGTTCTATTTCTAGCCGGCATACACTTCACCTTTATTTTAGCGAACAGTGCGCCTGATTCTCCCACAAACGTGCCATCATATTAGCTTCCTCTAGTTGCCACTGTCAGACAGCATGTAGGGAAACTATTTTCTTGCAGTAGCTTAAGTATTCCCATATATCTGACATTAGAAAGCTTTAGAGCAGGCATCCCCAAACTCGTTCCTCGAGGGCCGCTGTCCTGCAGGTTTTAGAGGTTTCCCTGCTCCAGCACAGCTGATTTTAATTGAAAGCTGATTAACAGTTTTTTGCTCTACTGTAATCATTATAATCAGCTGTTTTAAAGCAGGGAAGCCTCTAAAACCTGCAGGACAGCGGCCCTCGAGGACCGAGTTTGGGGATGCCTGCTTTAGAGTGCGGAGCTGTGTATGGTGTATGAAGCGCCCTCTCTGAAAGGACCAAAGAATGGGGAAATGTTTGAGCTGCTCCCCTAAATTCAGCCATTTTTCCCAGGGGTGTGCAGGGGGAGGATTTGTGAAGCTGAAGCTGCTCACAACCTGAGCACACTCCCCCTGATAGGATTTAAAACCAAATATGCTAATATTTCGAGAGGAACAGCAATGTTGGAGATAATTTCAATCACTCTCATGTATTTTTCCTGCCCAAAGTTGGCAACTTCCTGGGATGCAATCTGTCAGACCACCGGGAAGATTTTGGGATATATCATCCCCAAAGACCCCAGAATATTTTTGCTGGGGCTGATATTTGGAGAAGTGTTTCAGAAAGAAGATAAGTATCATTTTAAAGTTCCATCAATTGCAAGCAAAAAAGATATTACACACTCTTTGCTAAAGAAACTCCCTCCCCAGCTGGACCACTGGTGGGAAGTGGTGATTCACTTTTTATCTTTCACATAGAAAAGGACATTCCTACAACAAACACTGGTCTAAATGGCTGACATACAAGAGCAAAGAAGCATAACTAGGTGTAACATCCTGTAATGTTCTCTTTTATCCCCCTTTCTTTCTTACTATTTAACGACAAATCAGTGCTCCAAGAGCTGTGTTATTTGTACGTTTCATTGTAATGAAAAATGTTAAAGAGTATAAAAAATAAAATGCTTATACTTCAGAAACAGCATGATGGAAAACTTGAGCAATTTTGAAACCGTGACTTTTTCATACCAGAGTTTGAAACCAGTACCAGCCCGTGCCTTGGTGTGGCAATAGAACTACCATTTATGGTCCCTTTGGTTTTATTTTCACTCTCAAACACTTCTGTGTGGAAAAAATCTTCAGCTCCAAGTGGATTTAGCCCTAGAAAAACAACGTTTGGCTACAGGCTAGCTCCTACCTTGAGAACAAGGGACACAATGTCCCAGGCGGTCCACCCCCCACAGGTAGCCTGCTCTCTCACAACACCAACCTGGAACCCTGAGAAGAGGAGAAATAAAACAGCTCATCATAAATGTATACAGCTTTGAACATTTCATGTAATAAATTGAAAAACTGGAGTTTAACTGGGATAAACATTTCCATTCAAAAGAAATATTCTATTGCCATCTAAGACGAGAGAATAAACAATCAGATACAGTCACAAAACAGGCTTAGATTGGAAGGGAAGCTCTTAGTTTTTCTAAAGACATTTCGACACCTAGTCTTTGTCAATTCTCTCCGCTCACAGCAGAGACATCTTTAGTTGAAGCTCTGATGTATTTAAGCAGCATGGAGGTCCTTCCTCTTTAGCACATTGCAATTCAGATGCAAATCAAATAGCTACCCCTCGTCCTTCTGGAGCATTGGAGTCAAAAAGACACTTTATTACAGAAGAACACGAGGACAAACAGCTAACAAAATAAGTTTAGAGATCCACTGATACATCTGATTAATTTCTGCTAAAGTTACAATACTACAGCTTTAGAGTTTTGACTGATTCCGATATTGACTTGATAAAATACCTGCGTAAATCATACTTTTGTTAACTATTTCTAGGCTGGAGGGTTAGAAAAGGCCTGATCAAGTGATGTTCATTAAAAAAAAGAACAATAGGGATGAGAACAACTGACCTATTTGCTACTAACCAACGGGTGGATTGAAGTGCAGTTTTTCTAGCTTATCTCATTGATTTCAGAAGGAGGCAGATATATTCCGATATTTGTTTCTTGGGCTGATACTGGACCAATTTCCGATATCTATCTCCGATTGGGTCATCCCTAGTCAAGTTAACTCTAGTTAACTAGTTAATTAATTACAGTTAATTACTGTAATTAATTAACTAGCTTGTTAAAAAAAAAAGAGAGACTGGACAACACAGAGATGGTGTGGGACATCAGAACATAGTCCATCTAAAAAGTTACCTTTAGTTCTTTACATCAATAATTGTTTGTTTTTTTTTAGTTAAAAATAATGAATTATTGATTAAAAAGAGTGATAAACATATATCCTTTGGATCCCCCTCCCCTTTTACAACATTTAATATATATGTATTTTTTTAAATATCTAAGAATAGCCCAGTTTTCTTTTTTGTATCTAAGGAGCAAAATATTGAAGAAAAACAGCTGCCTCTTACCTATCAGTGTTTTTTGCTCAACATTGACTTTTTTTTTTAAGCGGCAAAAAAGGAGGTTGGTAAATAACCAGGAGTAAATGAATACATTGAAAGATTTAAAATGGCTTTTATGTTTACCTGCTTACATTTGTGTGCGAAGGTATAGAAATAAAGAAAGAAAAGTCATAGTTGTTTTAACTGTATCAGAAAAGAAAATCTAATCTGATTAATTGATTATTGAAATAATTTTGAACTTAGTAATTGTAAAGTAAATAGATTCTTTAACAAATTCCATTTCGATAAAGACTCAAAGCAGTTATTGATCCAAAGCTATATAAAAAAAAATATATGTACTTTGCATTAAAAAGAGAAACCTTCATGATCAATTCAAAAGATAGAGCAGGTTTACTGGTTAAAATGCTGAAAAAAAAATAAACATATTAAGCACATACTGCTCTAATTAATAGTTGGTGATTCTGAAACATAGTTATCAGATTAATTAACAAAATAATCGCTATATGCAGCCCAAAAGAGAAAAATCTTTCTAACGTAATGTTACATTTGTGATGTATAACATGGCAAACTACTCGCTATGGTTTCTTCCTTTGGTTCTCTGAAGTCTGACTATTTAAGTTGATCATGAGAACGTCACCATCTTCCTCCTTCACCGCATACATCCTCCTTGATAAGATCATTTCTTTGACTGCAGATAAACATCTCTGCTTAGACCTGCTCATGTCTGGTTGTTTCGGTCTACTTATCTTTAAACATTAGAGGTTTCATTTGATATTCAGTGATTAATTCCCTATAAGCTAAATTGAACTTTAGTGGCCTGCAGTTGCAAAGATGATGAATAATGCCCGTAGAACTTAATCAAGGGACAGTTACAACACAACTGAGGCAGTAGTCAGGTGATTCAATCCCAATAAACCTCCCAACCTCTCATTACAATGCCAAGGAATAAACAAAATGTATTTCTTTTTTCTTTCTTTTTTTTTTTTTGCAAAGAAAAAAAGGAGACAGAGGGAATCACTGTTTGAACTGGAACATTGGGGCCCCTGTTTAGGGTCTATAGGAGTCTGCGTGATTTGAGTGGTATTTATAGTCCCAGAGCCAAACCTAAGGCCATAATGTTGACTCTTGTTTGATTAGTCTACTACTGTATTAATAAGCAATGATAGCGTGATGCAAATTTAGAAACAGACTTCCGTTTATAACCTGTCAAGCAAGACTAAACAAGATTTGTATCACTTTTCCTGAAAAGCAATTAGTGAAAGAAACTCACTAAATGTAAATGGTCCACTGAATAAAAATAAATCAAACGCCGCTCAAACATAACTTTGAGTTAGCGTTTTTTCTACAGCTGAATGAAAGATATAAAAGGATACCATTCTGATCTATTAGTTCCCTATCTGCCCTCACTGTGTGGTCAACAATACCTTAATCAAAAACCAGATATATTCCCCTTTCCTCTTTAACTCAGAGACAGGGAAAAGTGAACAATAAACTGTGACCTAATGACAGAAGTCTATAATTCATGGAAGCATTTGGAGGAAAGTGTTTTGTTGCCATCATACTCTGCACTCTGTGTTCTTTCTTTATCACTTCCCCTCGATTATAGAGTATTGCAGCCAAGCTTTGTTCACCATCATGAACCATTGAGCTCCTGATATTTGTCTTGGTTGCCATTGGACTTCTTCTTTCAGAGTTTCTGACCATCTGTCCTTCCACCATTGGCTACTGAAACTATGAGGAAATTTAGAATGCATTTTCCCCATTAAAAATAAATAATCAATTAAACAATGCCTATGTGTTCAACGAATACAAAGCAAAAGCATAATCTGACATCTGAAAGAAAGACCCCCACACCACCACCCCCAAAAAGTTCCCACTTATTGCAGGGTTTGCATCTCAACATCTATCAATATTTAAAATAGAGGAAGGTTAATATTGATGTTGAGTTTTTAACATTTGACTCTATGAGAAAGAAAGATGCAGGCAAAAGGCTTTAGGGAAAAAATTTTAATCCCACCGATCAAAACCTTTAAATCTGACCACATGCTTCTGGATTAAAAGGGAAAGCGCTCAGCAATCTATAAAAACCTTCCTCTCCCACCGTGAGAGATTAAACATGTTTTGATTTCAAAAAGGGGTTTTCCTGATGAAAACTGAACCTGAGTGAGAGAAGCTGTGCCTGAAAATCAAACTGACTAAATCGTTTAAAGAATCTAGTTTTCATGCATGAGAAAAAAAAATACTCCTCACTAAAGATTAAATGGGTACACATGAAGTTTGAGGATAACTGTCCTTGTTACTTTTGTCAGAGGAGAATTACTATATGCAGACACATCTATAGTGCAAACATTTTTTTTTTTTGCAGAAATTTTGTAAAACTGCAACTGTATTGCATGAAAACCTAATTTCATTCCTATAATTTTTTTGAATTTATATGGTGGGGAAACTGCTTAAATATTTTTCATAAGAATCAGACAGAATAATCCATTCACTGCAGTGGAAAATTTTGGACCATAAACAAACAAAGCTAATTTAGTGGGTAAATATTGACCACATTGTTTTTTGTGCAAATAGACTTAGCTGGAAAAGAGACCTTTAACAGCTAACGGGTCCTTTAAATGTCCACTTTTTATCATTCTATCTAGGGCTGGGCGATATAGAAAAAAAGCTTATCGATAAAAAAAAATGCATATTGATCGATATCGATAATTATTGAAAAGATTTGAAACCATATTTTATGTGCAGCTCTGCCTGGACTTTTTATAATATTGCTAAAGGATTTAATTTTAATAAAAAACACAAACTTCGAATTAAATCTTTATTTAACCAACTTTTTTAACCATAACAGAATTGTTTTAAAGAAAAATAACTTAAGAGACCTGAGTTATGTTATTAAATACTGACAAAGAATAAACTAAAGTGACCAAAATAAATATAACAAATAAAAAAATGCCCCACCGCCGCCGCCCCCGTTTCCTGCTTTGACCTGAGTTATTACTTTCAAGTTTCTGGCCCCTCAGCATTTTTATCTCAATTGTTAGAACTACGTGGGAAACTGCCCAGAACTGAAAATATATATATATTTTCTGAAGATTCCTCGGAGGAGAGCCGCGTCGGGGCCTACACAGCTCGTACTCCTGCGGGTGTGAGCGGCTGAGATGATAAAAAAAAAAAAAAAGGTTGGTTGTGTTATCAGACTTGGTTTTCACTGGTTCCCGACACATTTTCCAGATGACTGTGGTTTGTTTTTGGTCCGACTTGCCATGACCGAAATACTGCCGAACTACAAAAACCCTTCTTTGAAACAATTTCCTCCACCTCTCCTTGCTGCACAGCTTCATGTGCTCTGTGTTGTGGTTTGAGAGGGCGGCGCTTGGTGACGGCATGCTTGGGTCCGTGATTGTGATTGGTTGGGAGGAAGCAGTGACTAGCATAAACCTACATGCTAGGCTACAATGAGAAGGAAGGAAAACTGCGTTTCTTTTTTATCGAACTTTTTACCGACCCTCTTTTTTTCTATTGCGCCACACGTCTATCGATCGATATATATCGTTATTGAATTATCGCCCAGCCCTAATTCTATCTCTATTATCCCATTCTGCAGCATGTGTTAGCTTAATTTCTAACATTATGCTCTCCCTGCTTTTTTCTCATAGTAGTTTGATCTGGTCTGATCCGGCTTGGCTGTGACACCATCCTGGTGATAAATATCAGCTGTGCTGCTGGCATCAACACCTTTGTTTTAGGATGCTGGACTTTGGCCTTTTTTTTCCAGTGTAGTCCTGTTTCTCTGACTGTGACTACCTGCATGTGCTCTATTTCAACCTCTGACATGGGAGGTGGCTTGGAGCTTGTCTGCCTGGCTGTGTGT